TATTGAGGATTCCAAAGAGCTTTTCCTTTATGGATTACAACTCTTTATGATGACTGTATTGGAAATTAAAAAATTAGATTTTTTAAATGCTTATTTATTAATTCACTTGAAGAGAGTGAATGATGAACATGTTGCATGTTAATAACATCTTAGCAATATTATTAAATGAGTTCTGACCTTATGGACACCCTAAGATCTATCTTAAAGTGTCAATTTGCTCCAGAGTATGAAAGATCATGACAAAGAACAAAATGCAGAAATGAATTTTATTTGTCTTGGTTTATAATACCTGACTAAAAAGTTCTGAAATATGTTAAAATGTTAGCAAAGTTTGCTCAATTATGATGAGCTTGTTTCCTTCGTTTATTTTTTATTGCCTTTGCCTAAAGTATAAACAGTTATTCTTTTTCTTTCTAAGCTGCCTAGGTAGCAAATATTCTGTGTCTTTCCAGAATAATTTTATTTGCTCTATGTTGTCTTTATTTAAGAAAAAATAAAATAAAGTTTCCTCACTTAGCAAAGATCTAATATTCTTTACAATCATGTCTGTTTGTTTAAATGTTGTTGTCACATTAAATAACCAAGTCTTGTTTCTCAGGTATTCATGAGCCTATCTTAAGTGTTCCAATCTCCTGACAACTTCTGATTTTTGCCTTTCCAAAATCAAATCCTAAATGTAAGACACAACAAAATTAGAATAACACTTTCAGGATAGCTTTTGCATCTAAAACTATGTTTGAAATTTCCCAGAGCCCCCCCTAGAAAATCATAAATATTTTTTCTTTCTCTAGTAAAAACAAAAGTGCTAGATACAATTAAGTTTATTTGATGTAAGAGTTACATGGGAAGAGTTGTTAAATCTGAAGAGGAGATGCTCAGCCTTCTCTAGGTTAAATTTGTATGTTTAACTTACGTTATTAACATAAATATTTCAGAAATTGTATGCAGACTTATCAGTGCTCCCATTATCCATGATATGTTTCTATTTATTACAAAGTGCTGCTTTGCCTAATGCTATCAGGCAACAGCAGTTATCAGTCATAATTTCAGTTATTAATTAAAATGTTATCTTGGTTCCAACCTTACTTCTTTAATTTGTATCTAGCATCTTCTAGACCAGGAGTTTTCCACTGGGAATGCATGTCAGACTTATCTCAGGAGTTTTATTAAAATACGAATATTTAGAACCTACTCCAAACTTACTGAATGTCTTTAATATTCTTAATATATTCTTGGCATTTCTTACTATTGCATGGTCTATTCATGGCATATTATGCATAGTAGATCTCAGAATTTTTATATGATATATCTCAATATATTTTCTTCTGTAAAAATTGTGTTTATCTATTTTTATAAATCATGGAACATTTACTGTTCACTGTCTTTGAAAGCAGGCTTAATCATTATGCTTATAGACATTTTGTCTACAAGGTTTTTAGATTAGCTCTACTATTTTGTTTTGTATGCCACAGAAATAACCAAGTTAGCTTGTCAGTTGCATTATTCTTATTATAAACCTTTATCAGATTTTTCACTTTTGAAATGATGAGAAATAAATTAACCACAGATATTTTAAGATTCTGCTATCTGCAGATAGTTTTTTGAGTTTTTTTAGTTTTGTTTTGTTTTTTCTTTTACTTTGATGCTTCCTTCAGGGCTCTGCAATCAGCAACAGATCAGGGCTCACATCTTCAACAAAGAAAGACTGTCTCAGAGCCCTGTAGAAAGGACTGGACCAGGTACTTCAAACGTTGACACTTCAAAGCATAGATTCCTGTGAACAGTCTTCTGAAGTTTTTGCTTAAACAACTTTGAGACTGTAACAGTGAGGATTTCCAGAATTGTTAATAGTCAAGAAGCAGATGGATTCATGAGACACCTAACCCAAGGTCCAATGGAAGAAGAGTCAATTACATGGACATGAACCGAAGAGAGATGGTTTAGCTGTTTGCTTGGAATATTTTTTGTTGTTGTTGGTTTTTTATGTCGTATTTTCTAGATATATTTTTGGAAGACTTTTCTTCTTAAGCTGTCTATAATCAATAACACCTCTCCTTCCTCCCTCTGCTCCCTGTGGCAAAACCAGTTTTGCCTCTATCTGCACACAATATTCCTGATCTAAATGTGTCTTTTATTTGGATTCTCCTTTGAACTGGTTATAATTCCTTAGAAGTTCCTCAATATTAAGCGTTGGCAAAATTTTTCTGTTTTTATGTGGCCGGAGAGTAAAACTTTTAGGCTTTGTGGGTCATATAAAATATCTGTAGCATACCTTTCTTTGTTTTTTATTTTATCATCCTTTACAAATTTGAAAAAAAGCATTCTCGGCTCTAGAGCCATACAAAAACAATTGGCTGGATAATGTGTCAACTACTGAATAAATAACATCTTCAATGCATGATCATTTTTATATCTGTATGAGATTTATGCTTTACCTTCAAAAGTACTTTTTAACATCTATATCTGAGATCTGTTCCCCTCGGGATAGAGTGAATTATTCCCATACACTTAGCATGATGCCTATCATGGTATGTGCTTAATAAAAACCTGCTGGCTCCCCACATTGTAGGAGTCTCTCCTACGCTCTTCTACTGATCCACCTCAGAGGCTCTCTCTTGGTTTTGTCTTCTGCATTTCCACTTGCCACCAGCTGGACTCACACCCAAACCAAAGCACCAGAGCGCAGGAGATAGACACCTGCTTCCATCTTCCCCCATGCAGCTGTGACCCTATGGCCAAAGTATAACTAACATTTGTAACAAGGGCACATGATAGTTTTATTGTCTCAAAATATTGAATTTAGGGTTGCCAGATAAAATACAGGATTCCCAGTTACATTTGAATTTCAAACAACAAATTTTAAAAAAAATTTGCAATATTTGGGACATAATTATACTAAAAAATTATTTGTCATTTATCTGAAATTCAAATTTAGTCTGGCAGCTCTGTATTTATTGATAATCTATTACATTCTAAGGTTGGAACCGACCAGACACTCTGCAGGGGAAAGATGTGGCAGTCTCCTCCTGTAAAGATTACAGCTATGGAAACCATATGGGATAGTTCTACTCTATCCTATAGTATCGCTATGCATCGGAATCAAGTTGAAGGCGATGCGTTTATTCTAAGCGTAGGGGATTGTAGTGAAGTTGAGAGATTTCAGGGCTCATCAAGGAAAAAGATATAATTACTAGATAGCAGCGTCACACAAGAAGAGACTTATTGGGGCCACTGCATTAACAGCTGCATGCAGGGGGAGGTCTCCCACAGCAGGAGGTCTGCCAGAGGCACCCAAAGGGAAGAGGAGAAGGGGGGAGTTTATGTGTCCTTATGTGATGTCCTCCTGCAACAAGGTGGGGGCTCTCTGGGCCAGAGACCTACAAGGGTAGCAGATGTTGGATGCAGTTGTATGGGATATGTAAAGCTGGCAGGCTCTAAGTGGCTAAAAATCTGCTTATTTGGGCTATTTTTAAAAACAACTGGATGTTTCGAAATTTGAGTTTCATGCCAGCAGGCTTTTTGGCTAAAGGGTCTCGACATGCTATGAAGTAAACAACTTGGGGCCATTCCACAGAGGCCATCTTTAGCTCATTTACATGACAGGGACACAGCTGTAAAGAAGACAAAATACCTACCTCATAGAACAGACTGCTAGTGGAGATGGGTTAATAATCAAATTAACTGTGGTGTCACCTAGATGAGTGATAGGTGGAAAAATAAAACAGGGTAAGTGGATAAAGAGTAAAGTTGGATGCTGCTTTTAGCAGGGGGTCAGGGAAGACCTTTCTAATAAGGTGACATTTAACAGGAGTCTGAAGCAGTGGTTAAGAGTTAAGGCTGCTAACCAAAACGTCGGCAGTTCGAATCCACCAGCCACTCCTTGGAAACCCTATGGGGAGTTCTACTCTGTCCTATAGGGTTGCTATGAGTTGGAATTGACTCAATGGCAATGGGTCTCAAGTGAAGTGAGGGAGCCAACTGTGTAAATATGGGAGGGACGGCACATTTAAGGAAGACAGAATGGTAAGTGCAAAGGACCTGGGTCAAACCAAAACAAGTTGCCATCAAGTTGATTCCAACTCATGGCGACCCCATGTGTGTCAGAGTAGAACTGTACTCCACAGGGTTTTCAGTGGCTGATTTTCCAGAAGTAGATTGCCAGGCCTTTCTTCCAAGGCTCATCTGGGCAGACTCCAACTGCCAACCTTTGGGTTAGCAGAGGAGCACTTAACCACTTGCACCACCCAGGGACTCCCAAAGGCTTTAGAGGGGGTGTTTAATTGGCCAGTTCCAGGAATAGCAAGAAGGCCATGTGGCTGGGGGAGAGTGAGTAAGGGGAGCAGGGTAGGTGTGAAGTCTAAGAAGCAGTTGGAGCCTCCTTGCCTAAAGTTCTCAGAGGCCTCAGTTAATCTTTCTAGGTCCTAGACAGCTGAGCTTTAAAAGAATAAAAATTGCACCGGAAGAATTGTAATTGTTCAGGGATGCAGTTGTTCGGCGATTATCTGAGAAGCTTGCCAGGAGCTGAGTTTCAGGGAAAACAACCAGGGACTAGACTGAGATATCCCAAACTGTTTTCTGTTTCTCAGAACTCTTACCTGCCCAATTCCCTGGAAAGCTGCTCCTCCCTACACCTAGCCTCATGGATGCATCCAATTTAAACTCAGGAACATCACCAGTGAAATGAAAACTGCTATTCAAGAAGCTGCCAGGATTTGAGTGCTGCAAACTGAATGGCTCAGAACCGCCTCGGTGGACGAGCTTTATGCTACATTCTAGAGCTGCCTGTGCCAAAGTTAATCAGAGAGGTCAGACCCAGCAAGTCTTTCTGCCAGGGGACATTGGGCCCTCCCTTGAGAGCTGCTGTGAGAAGCCGTTTGAGGAAGTAAGTTTATAAAGCTAGCTTTTTAGTTTTCCGTGCTCTTCAACTTCACTATTTCCTTTACAGATCTTTTGAGGCCCCGCCTCCCACAGAAGTTTCACTTCTAAATTTAATCCGGTCTGAGTTAACTTCCCCACCCACACTCCGGAAGTGGCAGCTACAGAGGGGACTAGCAGGGAATATGTGACTGTCGGCTGTGTGGCGACCAACTGAGAGAAGACCCAGGCCAAGGTTTTTTTGGTGGAGGGATATGATACATGCATGTGTGCATGTGTGTGTGGGGGCCTGGGGGTAGGGTAGGCATGCTTTCCGGTTCGTATCGTCTCCAACTCTGAAAATCGTCAGAATTTTGCTTTATAGCTCTCACTCGTGTTTGCTTTCTCTTTCACCAGACTCCTCATGCCACATCTCAGATCGAGGATGCAAAGTGACTGAAGGCCAGGACGGCACCCTGGGGCTTCAGGAGGAGGGAAGGCACTTCTTCCCTAGTAGCGCAGCACCCCCGGCAGAGAGGGGCCTTGTGTATCCTTTGATAGAAATAATCTGCCAAGGAATAGAAGTCTCCAAGATGAGATTCTGTGTGGCTCCAAGAGACCAGTCCTGATTATCAGAGGGAAAACACCTATCTGGTAAACCAAAACCGAACCCATTGCTGTCGGGTCGGTTCCAACTCATAGCGACCCTATAGGACGTGGTAAAACTGCCTCATAGGGTTTCGAAGGAGCAGCTGGTGAATTCGAACTGCCAACTTTTTGTCCCCTCCCCCAAACTCTCAGGGGTGGGAAAAGGGGACCAGGACTAGGTTCCTGAAATAGCTGCAGCAAGGGGTGAGAGGACAGAGTCCTTTGCTCCATTGCTGTCTCTGGTTGCTGGGTCTTTACTGATGGACATTAGGGGTTCCAGAACCACGAATCCTACAGAGGCCTGATCGCCCCCTGCCTCCCTTCCCACCTCCCCTACATCTTGCCAGCTGGATTTGCCCACAAGTTCTGCGAACTCCCAGAGTTTCAATCACCCTGTACTTCTCTTGGGAGGCAGTCCTGGCCTGGAGACGCAAGAGTCAAGGCCCGAGTTCTCTGGGAGCTCTGCTCTCCAGGACCAACCCTTTCCCTCTCTTTCTAATTCTCTCTGCCTAAGTACCAGGAAAGGCTCCCTGCTGGCACAGTGGTTAAACACTCCGCTGATAACTGAAATGTTAGCAGTTTGAACCTACCAGCCGCTCCATGGGAGAAACATTACAGCCTTGGAAACCCTATGGGGAGTTCTACTCTGTCCTGTAGGGTTGCTATGAGTCAGAATCGACTCCAGGGCAATAGGGTTGGGGTTTTTTTTTTTTTTTTTTGGAAGTAGCAGGAGAGAGATGGAACAAAAAGGACAAACTGGTTCTTCTGGTTGCCTTGGTTATTTTCATATTCCCCTGGTTGGGTCTCCACTGAGACTTTATTAATCTAGTGGGATTTTTTTTAATCTTGGAGTTGGGGCAGTGTACAGAGATCTGGGCGTGGGGTAGTCAAACTTTATTGTCTCAGTGGAAACTTCACAGACCACCCAATTACCCCTGTTGCTAACAGTTATAAAGAGATAATTCTGATAATAGTTACTCTTGATGTTCATTAGAATGTGAAAGTTTCACACTCCCTCGCTGATTTCTCTCTCTTGGGGCAACTTTTATGAGGAAGCCTACCTTACTCCTCTCTGTCAGCTCTTGGTCCAAGAGAACTTTTGCAATGATGAAACGTTCTAGATCTGGGCTGTCATGTAGCCACTAGCCACATGTGGCTATTGAGCAATCAAAATGTGGCTACTGAGACTGAGAAACTGAATTTTAATTTTATTTCATTTTAATGTGGTAATGGCTACCATATTAGACAACACAGCTAGATGTTTATGCGTCTTCTAGATTCCGATCCCTTTCTTCTCTCTAGAGAGAAGACTTTAAGACCTGTGCAGGCCAGTGGCAGCCAACTCATCACACAGAGGCTCAGGTGAAGGGTATTTCCATCACTGTGGAAAATTCTGGCTGCTTCATCTCTGCTTCCAGATTCACTGTTGAAGCTTTTTAATAAAAGCCATGGCCTCAGCCACACCTGCAAAAAAGATGAAAGAGGAAGCCACCTGCTCCATCTGCCTAAACTTGATGGTTGACCCAGTGAGCATCAGCTGTGGACACAGCTACTGCCGGTTATGCATAGAGGGCTTCCTTGAGAACGTAAGCCACACGCAACCACAGCAAGAGTTCTTATGTCCCCAGTGCCGGGCCCCCTTTCAAATGGCAAGCCTCAGGCCCAACAAGCAGCTAGGAAACCTCATTGAGGCCATCAAGGAGATAAACTGTGAAATGGTATGTGAAGAACACGGAGAGCAGCTCCACCTGTTCTGCGAAGACGACGGCCAGCTCATCTGCTGGCGCTGTGAGCGGGCACCGCAGCACAAAGGGCACACCACAGCTCTTGTTGAAGATGTAAGCCAGGGGTACAAGGTGAGTATGGGGGCCAGAAAGGCTCGCCAAGGCCTGGTCTCATGCTGCTCTTCAAGACCTGAGATTGTTCAGTCTGAAACCCAAGATTATGATCCTGAAATGCAGCTTTCATTGTGTCATTCTTCTGAAAAATAGTTTTGATGGGTCCTCACTGAATCAAGTCCAGGCTTTCCATCCTGACTTTCAGGGGGACAGTCAGACTCTTGTCTCTATCCACTCTGTCCTAGAACACACTGTGCTCAAACCCACATCTGCATGTTTTATGGCTTCACACTGGGCATACAATTCGAAAAACCACAATGGGACTCATGTGGTAGGGTCTCAAAATACAGGGGAGAAAAACACACCACCTTTTAGGTATCCTACATTTTTGGCCCAAACCCGTTGCCATCGAGTTGATTCTGACTCATAGCAACCCTATAGGACAGGGTAGAACTATCCCATAGGGTTTCCAAAGAGCAGCTGGTGGATTCGAACTGCTGACCTTTTGGTTAGCAGCCTAGCTCTTAAGCAGGGCTCCTACATTCTTGGAGGGAAGATTTAAAAAAAAAAAAAAAATTGCCTTCAATTCGATTCCAATGGCGACCCCATGTGTTACAGAGTAGAACTGCTCCTTAGGGTTTTCTTGGCTGTAATCTTTATGGAAGCAGATCACAGGCCTTTCTTCCACAGTGCCCCTGGGTGGGTTTGAACCACCAACCTTAGGTCCGTAGTCAAGTACAAACCATTTGTGCTACCCAAAGACTTAAGTAGGGAAGAAAAACAGGCAAAAAAGACTGCCTGACACTCTCTGTTTGGGGCGACAGGAAGGACCAGAGAGTAGGGAGTAATATCAGGGAAGCCTTCCTGGAAGAAGCAACTCTTGAAGGACACAAAAGTTAACCACATACAGAGGGATGGAGAAAAGACAGGGCATTCCAGGCAGAGGGGATGGCATGTACAAATGCATGCCCATGAGAGCTTTCCTTGCTCATGGTGAGAAGGACAGGGGTTGTGCGTAGGGGAAAGGCAAATGATGACGTGGGAAAGAAAGTTGGGGCCTAGAACCTTGTTATCAGCTCGGGGTCTGTATCCTAGCCCAGTGTGGTACAGACCACTAAGAGATGTTCATTTGGGAAATGATGGGTCAGGTTGACATTGAAAAGATCACTCCGAGGATGGTGCAAATGGTTGGGTGGTGCATACGGTTAGGCGCTCAACTACTAGCTGAAAGGTTGGCAGTTCAAACCCATCCAGAGGCACTTCAGAAGAAAGGCCTGGCCATCTGCTCCTGAAAGGTCACAGCCTTGAAAACCTATGGAGCACAGTTTTACTCTGCACACATAGGGTCGCGATGAGTCGGAATCGACTCAATGGCCACTAGCAATAACAACAACATACAAAATATGTAACCATGAGAATAATGAAACACTAAGAATGAAAAGATCATTCTGGCATGGATAAAGCATAAGGACTATCAAGGAGTAAAATTCAAATTATTCCAATAAGAAAGGGAAGAGGGAAGTTTCAAGCAAGATTCAGGAAGGAAATCAAAGGATTTGGAAATGATTGGTTGTAGATGATGAAGGGGAGGGAGAGGTTTTGGGCAACTCCTGGATTTCTCACACAAGAGCATGTAAAGGAAGACTACCTTTGGCTGTGGTGAAATGAAGGAGCAGTGAGAATAGTCCCATTGCCTTATTCCTTCTCTGTCCTGCCTAGACGATGTTGTCCCCAGTGTGGGACTCCTTGTTCCCTGCTCCATGAGGTGGAGGTGGTCTTATATTAAAGCTCCAGATTCTTCATAAGGACATGTCAATACCACTCAACACCCAGTGTCTCTTTCTTAAGCTTCATGGTGCAGCTAATAACTGTAATGTGAATATTCACATTTTAATTACTGTCACCCCACAAAGTAAGAAGAGGAGCAGCATAGGGTAATAGTAATAAACACAGACTCAGGAGCCAGACTGCTCAGGTTAAAATTCTACTTCTACCACTTACTAGATAGGTAATTTTGAGCAAATTATTTAATATTTTATTTTCACAACAATAATAAGAGATATTTAATGTCTTCATGCCTTGATTTTCCCATCTGTAAAATGAGGACAGAGGATTGTTCTAAGCTTTGAGGATATTAATAGTATCTGTAAAGCTTAGAATAGCACTTGGCATATAACAAGGGCAGTGCAGGCGTTTGCTAGTTACATAGGGCCTTTCCTTGAGAATGCTGGAAAATGAAAAAGTTTACTTATTGGGTTTACATAAGGACAGGAGCCAATTCTTTTAGTGTTGACCAAAATTAGCAATTTGGTTCAGCTTCTAATTGCTTTCTGTGAAAATGAGAGAAAATATTTCTTTAAATAAACTAAAAGCTTGATATAACCCATAAACCCATTGCTGTTGAATTGATTCTGACTTGTAGTGACTCTATAGGACAGAGTAGAACTGCCCCATAGGGTTTCCAAGGAGCGGCTGGTGGATTCAAACTGCCAGCCTTTTGGTTAGCAGCTGTCTTAGTTATCTAGTGCTGCTCTAACAGAAATACCACAAGTGGATGGCCTTAACAAAGGGAAGTTTATTCTCTCGCAGTCCAGTAGGCTACAAGTCCAAATTCAGGACATCAGCTCCAGGAGAAGGCTTTCTGTCTGTGTCGGCTCTGGAGGAAGGTCCTTGTGATGCATCAGTCTTCCTTCGGTCTGGGAGCTTCTCTGCGCAGGAACCTCAGGTCCAAAGGACAAGCTGTGTTCCCAGCACTGCTTTCTTGGTAGTATGAGTTTCCCATGTGTCTCTGTTCACGTCTCTCTTTTATATCTCAAAAAAGATGGCATTAAGACACTATCTAATCTTGTCAACCTCATCAGTATAACCTCATTACAGTGATAGAATTTACAACACATAAGGAGATCACATATAATCTCATCATAGTGATACAGATTACAACACATAAGGAAATCACATCAGATTACACAATCATATAATACTGGGAATCATGACCCAGCCAAGTTGACAGATATTTTTGGGGGACACTATTCAATCCATGACAGCAGCCAAGCTCTTAACTGCTGTGGCAAACATTACGTAGTAAGTACTAAATCATTTTAAGTTGATTTCATGATACTATCCTTTTAAAGATATCAGGACCCCCTTCCTCCATTATCTGTTTCTGATAATTCCAGCCAGCATCCATGTCTTTCCTTCCTGACCAACCCATAATATCTACAAAGTTCCATGCAAGCCAAACACTTGGGAATCAGTGGAAGTTGGAATCACAGCTCAACCACTGACTAGTTAATAGCACCTCAGGCAAGTTACTTAAACCTTTCCTAAGCCTCAGTTTCTACTGCAGAAAAAATGATGTTAAGAATCCTATCCATTGCTCAGGGTTGCTGAGGGGGTCAAATATGTTACTGCACATACAGCCCTTAGCATGCTCCCTGCTAAACCATGCTGTTGTTGTTAGTTGCAGTTGAGTCGATTGTGATTCATGGCAACCCAATGTACGCAGAGTATAACTGCTTCACAGAGTTTTCAAGGGCTGGGAACTTCCAGAAGCAGATCACCAGGCCTGTCTTCTGAGGTTCCTCTGGGTGGGTTCAAACCGCCAACCTTTTGTCTAGTTGCCAAGTGCTTAGACATTTGCACCACCCGAGGTCTCTGTCAAACCACAGGATTCAATAAATATTCAGTGTTATTCTAACATATCTTGAAGGGCTGGGATTCCCCATAGGAACAGACACATTTAGATGCCTAATGAAGCACTGGCAAATTGAATGGACTTTACTCACTCAATTTTTCCTTCAGGAAAAGCTTCAGAAAGTTGTGACAAACTTGAGGCAACTCAACAATGAATGTATGAATCTGAAGGCATTGACGACAAAGCAAATAAGCGAATGGAAGGTAAGAATCTAAGTTTATTGATCTCAAGCTATTTTCCATCTTAGAGCTCAGGCCCAGGGGATGGTTGTGGCAAAGACAATGATGGTTTAGTCTTACTAAACCACACCAAATAGCAGAAGAAACCGTTATTTGTTTTTAGTTGTTTACATCCATGAGAATTTCCTTTTTACCTCCCACGTCTTCAGTTCTTCAGCAGTAGGCTAGAATTCCTGATACCTCTGTGAGCAGAAGCAGAATTTGTGTTCATTTACCTAGAACCAGCCTTGACTAGATTTGAATTTTAAATATCTCAAAATACCTCACTGGTTTAAAGGCCTCAGTCTTATTAGCTTGGCAGTTCTACAGTGCAGGAGCTGGCTCTCGACCTTTCAGGTTCAAATCACCAAATGGAAGGTAAAAATCTGAGTTTGTGATCATTCTACAAACAGACTCACTCCAACGTGGGATTCATATTCCTCAAGCTTATGAGGATGATGTAGGAAACCCATTTGATATATAATGAGGACCATAACTGCTGCAAGAACCTACATACTTGTAACTGCAGGACGATGGGTTCTCTGAAGATATTCCCATGGCTAGCCAGCTTCCCCATTTTCACAAACACACTCCTTTATGGAAATATTTATGTAATCCATGAGCTTTCAGTCAAATCCCACAGGCCTATTTTGTCTCTTTCAAGGGTCTTTTCCAATCTCTTCCCTGTTCCTTTGAGTGTTAAGGTTAAAGTTTAGTTCTCAGAGGACACTCTTACTTCCCTCATTTCCAGGATCTTGGGGAAAGGGAAGGGACTTGCTTATAACCAAAATCTATGGAAATCCCAACAATGCAAGCGTTAAGGCTGCACCTGTCTTCTGCAGAAAAAAGCTCCACTTCATCCTAAATCAATGACCCTTCTGCCACAACATCACAGCCATTGAAATGCTGCATGAATTGAGGAAGCCCTAATGGAAATTATGACTCTATGTCCCCCAAAATGAAAGCTGAGCTCCATAAGATATATCATTAGGTTTCTGCCAGTCTTACACATTGGGATGATTAAATGACCATTGGACCCTAGACTGATGGATAAATATTTCTCAGTTAATCCATGGTAAAAGCATGCCAATCCTGGACCTCCTGCAGCTGAGAATTATGGACTCTTCTATCAATCTGATTGCCTTAAAATCCAGACTTGTTGATGTTCATTACAAATTTTTGCTTCAAAAATTCTCTCAGACTCAAAGATACCTTCTTACATTCCAAATAAAAATTGGTTTTTATCCTCAGAACTGATAAAGTGTTTGAATTTGGCCTTACTTCAATGATAAAATTATCTAGTACCCTGACCACCATCCTTCTCCTGCACCTTGCCTGGAGAAGACAGAAGTAAATAATGTGATTATGGAGAATCAGGGACAATCTCTGAGACATCTGAGTGCTTGCCTCCCAGGCATGACTCTGCAGCAGGGAACCTGGAACATTCTTCTAGCTCAAGTGACTCATGGAAAAATAGTGCCACAATTACTGAGCATTTTTTCTTGTCTCTAGGAAAAGGTAGAGGTTCAGAGAAAAAAATTACAGTCTGACTTTCAGAATCTCCAAATTTTCTTGCATGAAGAGGAGAAATGTTGTCTCTGGAGGCTGGAGAGAGAAGAAGAACAGACTCTAAGGAGACTGAAGGACAGTGAGGAAAATCTGGAGCTGAAGAGCTGTGAACTTATGAGCTACCTCCTGGATCTGGAGGATAAATGTCAGGGCTCACCCCAGGAATTGTTACTGGTAAGGCTGTGGGCTTAGAGGAGGAAAAGAAAGTGTCTGTTATTGATCTATTAAGAGGAGAATGGTAAGGAAGCATGGGAAGGTTGGTTAAGGCCTGCCTGCCCTGACTCCAAAGCAGCACATTAGCAGGGGAAATTTAAAGTAATGTTTCTTTTAAATATGCATCAGCATCTTCAGGATGACCTCCGCTAGTCTATATGGGAGCCTTGTGATAATTAGAAAAATACACCTCATCTGAGCCCAATAGAATGACTTTCTCCACCATTTTCCCCTTGGCCTTTGTGCACAGAACCCTGACACTCAGACTTTCTTCTGAAATACTCTTCCAAGTGAGTGGTGGTGATAAAGTGAGGCAGCCAAAATGAGAGATAACCTTTTCCCTTATTTGCTGGAAGAGCCCTTGCTCCAGAGATATTACAGGGTCTCCTTACAACTGCATGAAGGGTCCAGCCCATTGAGATTAACACTTTGGGCTGTTACATCTGGTTCCCACTAGTAGAACATTGTAGGGATGAGAGTGTAGCATGGCTGTATCACCAGTATGTGACACCTGCTGCCATCACTTTAGTGACTCAGTCAGGGGCTGTGCATGGGTTCACCACTAACGACCTTTGTCATAGAAGATCTCCAATATGGGCTCACTCAGAAGGAAATTAGATTACCAAAAGCACATCTTGTCAAAGGGAACATGGGCAAAGCTTCTGGCCCCTTCTCCAAGCAGCCCACAGTTGATGTGATTGTGAATATTACAGCTCCCCACGGAAAGTAAGAGACTCAGAGGTTGATAAACATCCTGCCATGCTGAGTCTCCAAGGGGACTGGGATGGGAGCCGTTATCTCTGGGCAGCCATCAATACCTATGGCTGGAGTTGCTCTCTTTACCTCTTTGAAAGGAGGATTTATAGAGAACAGCCCCACATGCCAAGCCCCATGAAATACTGATGTTCTCACACTCACCTTTTGTCTTTGTTCCTCTATAGGATGTGAAGGACACTTTGAACAGGTAAGTCCTGCATGAATGCAGGAGGGGAGGGTTGGAGTATATAGAGCTGAATGGAATGCAGCACTGAAGAAGTCTTGGATCTCTACTTGTTCTAGGAGTTGGGCTGTGAAGCTAGAAACACCAGAAGCCCTCTCTTTGGAGCTTAACACTGTGTACAGCGTTCCTGAACTTTACTTTGATGTGAAGAAAATGCTAAGAAGCTATCAAGGTATGTGAACTCAAAAATCTCTACACCCTGTGTGGACAGAAGAGAACTTAAGCAGTAACTGGGTTCATCACCTGTCCCTGAGAGGTCATTTTGTTGTTTTCAGTGGAGCTGTCACCCTCTTCCTTGTTACTGTGTTCCAGTGCTCAGACAGGAGGCACAGCATATTGGTTATCTGTGCAGATCCTTCAAATCCCTGCTCTCCCATGTATTAGCTCTGGGACCCCAGGCAAATAACTGCTTCAGTTTCCCAATCTGAAAAATGAAAATACTAAATATTCCTACTGCATTGGATTGTCATGAAAATAAAATGCATTAACATGGGAATGCTTAGCACAGTGTCTGTCACATAATCAGGGCCACATCGTGATATTTGCTCCAATTATAGCATTATATCATTGCTGCATTCCATTCAGTCTATCATGTTTATTTCAGTCAACTCTCAGCAATGCAAGAAAGGTGAGTATTATGGGCTGTGGTCCAAATGGTTTTAAAGACTTGGCCCAGATAACACAGACAGTAAATGTTAGAACTATAACCAAAACCACATTTTACTGACTTCCAAAGCTGAGCTTCCTGCTTCTTTGATTCTCTTAATCGGTACTTGCTATACTTCCACAATCCCTTATTTACAATTATAAAATTCAAAAAGCTCTGAAAACTGAAAGTGTTTTTGTAACGCATTTGGCTGCAAAATCTTACCTAACCTGAAATGATTTGGTAGAAACCCAATGGATTGCAATAGTCTGATCCTTTTGTGCACAGGGTCACCATGAGTCGGGGCCACCTTGATGACAGCTAACAACAACAAAATACCTGAAAAAAGTGCATATTATCTGCTTATTAGTTCTGGGTTTTATATGTGACTATTAGATTTGGCTTGTTTTTTGTTAAATCTTCCATGTTTTCTATTTGTTTTGTCTGCCTGATCTATCAATTATGGAGACAAGACTATTAAAATATTTCATGATGATAGGGATGATTGTAGAATTGTCTTTCTCTTTGTAATTCTGTAATTTTTTATTTGTATATTTAGAGGCTATATTATTAGGGAATGCATGTTTAGAATTGTGGTATCTTCCTAGTGAATTGTACATTTTGTCTTGATGAGGTGACCCTCTTCATCCTTAATAATGCTTTCACTTAATATCTTTTGACATCATTGAATAACTATAGAGCTATATAAAAATATTATCCATTTTTTAACTTTCAACCTTTCTATATCTTTTTGTTATATGTGTCATTTATAAAAATATATAGATGGAATTTTAAAAGTCTAACTGACATTTTGTCCTTTAAATAGTATTACCAACCTCTAAACACTTTAATTTCTTAATTTGGGTTTTCCTGGATCATTCAGGCAATATAAAATAGAAACCCTAAACTTATGTGAGAGCAGGCTAGTGATAAGGGGTGACAACAGAGTAATAAAGGAGTTATTTACAAAAATAAGGAAGAGAGTAATCAACAAGGAAGAGTGAAGCACCCAGGACTAGGATAGTGGGGAGCCATCACCTTTCCTGGACCTCAAGTGACAGGTATAGGGAGCTGTAACTATAGGCGACTGTAGCCAAGATAGAGAGACAGACCCTCCAAATCATAGCTAATAGGGAGGGACAGTGGTACTAAATACTCCTTACTTTGCTTCTTTCTGCCCCATGGTCTCTTCTAATGCTTCCCATTGGATGAACCAAACAGAAGCCAAAGGAAAGGAGTCTGGTTGATATATCCACAGAAGTCAGCCTTCCTTGGCACAGAGCAGAGTAGAAAAGGTGGAGAATGGTCTGGAGAGGCAAACAGAGAACACCCAGCACAGGCAGTGTTTCAGAATACTTTATTTCTCTTCTGGCCACACTCTAAGTGATCAGTGGTTAGCCTAGTGACACAGTGGCTTCTTAGCTCTCTTGCTAAAACATCATATTACTACTTTTCATTTTTAAAATTACATTGCTGACCAATATCTTATTTTAGTTTATCATATTTTTTCTGTCTTACTTAACTCTAGCCAGAATTTTTTCAATGTATCTTGGTCCTTTGTGTGTTATCTTAGGCTAATCCCTACTGAACCTTATCTAAAGTAAGAAACAGGAGCTTACACTTAAAAGTCATGGGACTGGGTACATGTCTGAGGTCTGGGAAAAACCATGGGTCTTCCAATAACAAGCTATGACATTAGCCGAGTCACTTTCCTTCTCTGATCTTCAGTGTTGGTAGTTATCAATGACATGGGAAAGGACTCCTTTCTGCTCAAGTATTCCAGGATTACTGGAAGATCCATGAGGGAGAGGAAGGGCTTTGGAGAAGACAGTAACCATATCGGCTCTAATCAGTTCTTGTCCTTAGGTTCTCTAAGTGACTAAGGTAGTGATGATAATGAAGATGATGATAATGATGATGACATTACTGTTACTACCATTTATTGGCCACTTACTATGTGCTAGGAATTTTACAGGCACCAAACGTATGTTAGCTCCTTCATTCCTCCCCACTGTGCTCTGCAACAGGTATGATGATTTCTGCTTTATATTTAACAAAACTGAGGCTTGGAGAGTTGAATGCCTTGCCTAAGCTCACACAGCTAGTAAGAAGCACTGCTTGGATTCAAACACAGGCTGGTTTTATTGAAAATGAACTATGCTCTCAACACCAAAAAAATATTGTCTTTCTTTGCAGTCGGTGTGACTCTGGATCCAGATACAGCTCATCGTGAACTAATTCTGTCTGAGGATCGGAGACAAGTGACTCGTGGATACCCCCAGGACAATCTTGACACTTCTTCCAGGAGATTTAGTGCCTTCCCATGTGTCCTGGGCTGTGAGGGCTTCACCTCAGGAAGACACTACTTTGAAGTAGATGTGGGAGAAGGAACTGGGTGGGATTTAGGAGTCTGTATAGAAAATGTGCAGAGAGACAAGAGCATGAAGCAGAAGCCTGAGTTTGGATTCTGGACCATCAGGCTGTGCAAAAAGAAAGGCTATATAGCACTTACCTCTCTCCCAGTTTACCTTCATCTGAAGGAGCAGCCCCTGGTTGTAGGGGTTTTACTGGACTGTGAAGCTGGAGTTGTATCCTTTTATAACATGACCACTGGCTCCCACATATTCACCTTCCCAAAGGCCTCCTTCTCTGACACTCTCCGGCCCTATTTCCAAGTTTATCAATACTCTCCTTTGTTCCTACCTCCCCCAGATGAGGAAGGAAAGAAGTAAAGTAAGTCTCCTTCTTGATTTAACCAGCACAGAGAACATAATGTAAATCCTGTGAGGGCAGAGATTTGGTCTGTTTTCTTCCTTGCTTTTCCCCCCAGTGCACTTAATAAATATGCATTGAATGAATGAATATAAAGACTGTAAAACTACCACAGATTGTCAGCCTGAACTGAGGGAAAGCGAGATTGTAGCAATGACCATACACTGTCCTCTCCATCCCTCTTAAATGGATTCAGGGCTTTGATTTCCAAGAGTTCTTGGGTGATGGGCAGGAAAAAGTCAATGACTGGCCCAGAGTCCATGAAGCCTGTGTTTTCCCACTTCGTTTGATGTCATTTGAACTGGTATGTAGGGGGTGAGGGAAACCTGCAGTTGTCTCTGCCTACTGCATAAAGAGGAGCCCTGGGGGTGCAGTGGTTAAAGTGCTTGGCTGCTAACCAGAAGATTGGTGGTTTGATATCACCAGCTGCTCTGCAGGACAACAATATGGCAGTCTGCTTCCGTAAAGATTTACAGCCTTGGAAACCTTATGGGGCAGTTCTACTCTGTCCTATAAACTTGCTATGAGTTGGAATCGACTTGACAGCAGTGGGTTTGGTTTTAGTTATTTATTTTTTTCTTTTTTTACTGTATAAAAGAGCAGGAAAATCAAAATAGTAGTTAATCTTCCAATCACTGGCATGCTGATTAATAATCTGAGCTGCAGTCCTAGATGGTGTAGGCAATAAAGAAGTAAAATGTTAGAGGAAAGTTACAATTGATGTCTTAATCATCTAGTGCTGCTCCAACAGAAATACCACAAGTAGATGGCTTTAACAAAGAGAAATTTATTCTTTCATAGTCCAGTAGGCTCCAAGTCCAAATTCAGGGCATCGGCTCCAGGGGAATGCTTTCTCTACCGACTCTGGAGGAAGGTCCATGTCACCAATCTTCCCTTGGTCTGGGAGCTTCTCTGTGCAGGAACCTCAGGTCCAAAGGACACGCTCTGCTCCCAGCACTGCTTTCTTGGTGGTACGAGGTTCCCATGTGTCTTTGCTCACTTCTCTCTTTTATGTCTCGAAAGAGATTGGCTTAAGACACTATCCAATCTGGTAGATGTCATCAGTATAACCTCATCATAATGATAGAGTTTACAACACATAAGGAGATCACATATAACCTCATCATAGTGATAGAGTTTACAACACATAAGGAAATCACATCAGATTACACAATCATACATTACTAGGAATCATGACCCAGCCAAGCTGACAGATATTTTTGGGGGACACAATTCAATCCATGACAGTTGGCTTACAACGAGATGCTTCAAATAGGAAGGGGACTAAGAGTAAAAATAAATTCTGATGGGGAACTCAGTTCTCGAAAAGAATTCTGTGTTTTCCAGACTGTGCTAAAGGCAACTGTCCTGAAATGTTTTTAAACCTTAATGCTCATTGCTGAAATGATTGCTGACAGTCTTTATTTTTATTCAGATACGATCAAATAGGCCTTAACTCTTTAGAGGTTTATTCTCAAAACTACATTCCATATCATACCAGAGTGGGCCAATGGAGGACAGTAAAGTCAGTCAACACACTAACAACATTACCAATGACAATAAAGTCATTTCATATTAATTTATAGTTGATATAAAAATTGATGTTTGCTCCCTGAGGAACCAAATTACTGGACTGAGGGCTGTGGGGACCATGGTCTTGGGGGACATCTAGCTCAAGAGGCATAACATAGTTTATAAAGAAAATGTTCTACATTCTACTTTGGCCAGTGGCATCTGGGGTCTTAAAAGCTTGTGGGGAGCCATCTAAGATACTCCACTGGTCTCACCCCTTCAGGAGCAAGGGAGAATGAAGAAAACCAAAGACACAAGGTGTCTTAGTCATCTAGTGCTGCTATAACAGAAATACCACAAGTGGATAGCTTTGACAAAGAGAAATTTATTTCTTCACAGTCAAGTAGGCTAAACGTCCAAATTCAGGGCATCAGCTCTAGGGGAAGTCTTTCTCTCTCTGTTGGCCTTCTCATCAATGTTCCCCGGGACTAGAAGCTTCTCTGCACAGGAACCCTGGGTCCAAAGGACGCGCTCTGCTCCCAGCACTGCCTTCTTGGTGGTATGAGGTCCACCTGTCTCTCTGCTCGCTTCTCTCTTTTATATCTCAAGAGATTGCCTCAAGACACAATCCAGTCTTGTACATTGAGTCCTGCCTCACCAACACAACTGCTGCCCATCCTCCCTCATTAACATCATACAGGCAGGATTTACAGCACATGGGAAAATCACACAATACCCGGAATCATGGCCCAGGGAAATTGACACACACATTTTTGGGGGGACATAATTCATTCCATGACACAAGGGAAAGAATCCAAAGGACTAATGGACCACAACTACCACAGCCTCCACCAGACTGAGTCCAGCACAGCTAGATGGTACCCAGCTACCACCACCCAATCCTCTGACAGGGATCACAATAGAGGGTCCTGGACAGAGCTGGAGAAAATTGTAGAACAAAATTCTAACTCACAAAAAAGACCAGACTGACTGGCCTGACAGAGTATGGCCCCCAAACACCCTTTTAACTCAGTAATGAAGTCACTCCTGAGTTTCACCCTTCAGCCAAAGATTAGACAGGCCCATAAAACAAAATGAGACTAAAGGAGCACACTAGCCCAGAGGCAAGGTCTAGAAGGCAGGAGGAGACAGGAAAGCTGGTAATAGGGAATCCAAGGTCGAGAATGGGACAGTGTTGACATGTCTTGTGATTGTTAACCAATGTCACAATATGTGTACTAATTGTTTAATGAGAAGCTAGTTTGTTCTGTAAATCTTTATCTAAAGTACAATTTAAAGAAATAGTAAAAAAAAAAATCGCCGTTTGCTGACATTACCATTTATATGGTAATTCTTTCTTCTCAGAGGAAGTAGGGGGGACAAATGTCCGTTAATTTTTAAGTCTCTCAAGATGATAGACTACTATCCAGTGCAACAAGGAAAATGAACATATGATAACTTCAAATTCCCCTCAAGAAATCACTCTGGGCATAAGGGAAATAAAGCAAAAGAGCCACACTTGGAAGTCAGAGGCATGGTTGGGCGTTCATTTCTGCCCAAAGAAGAAAGAGAAGAGATCAGTCATCATTTCCCAGCCTCGGGCATTCTAGTCATGTTGATACAGGCTGGGTGGTAGCTAGAAAGGAACCCGTGTCTTATTTATTCCCTGCCCCTACAGACCCAGCACACTAACCCAGGTCTAGGGCCTAGGACCCACTGGATAACCGAGAAAGCTCACCTTCGTTCAGGGTAAATGAAGGCACAATATGAATATCGCTAAACTGATCTCTACCTTGGAGCCCTGGTGTCACCGTGGTTAAGAGCTCAGGCTGCTAACCAAAAGGATGGCAGCTTGAATCCATCAGCCGCTCCTTGGAAATCCTGTAGGGCAGTTCTATTCTGTCCTATAGGGTCGCTATGAGTCGGAATAGACTCAACGGCAAAGGGTTTGGTTTTTCTCCTCGGCGTCCTGCAGTCCAGGCGGCATCCCTAAGTTGGCAGGCCCTTGAACACTGTGTTCAGAAGGAATTCTATGTCCTTAAACACTTAGATTGCTGTACTCAGAAGGAATTCTATATCCTTAAACACTTAGATTGCTGAACAAGAAAGAATGAGAACAAAATAAGCTTTCAACTGAAGAATTCTTTTTAACAAAGTAAACCTTTGGAAACCGTAAGGAAGGATGTAATCAAGATAAAATGAGAAACTGGCTGGTATGCAGGCCAGCTATAGAAACGAAAAATAATTCCTGCGGCGGCGAAGCGCGTCTGCAGCAGGGCAGAAGGCAGGACCTACGCCAATGTCCCGGGCTGCGGCCTCCCGGGATCTCGGGAGGACAGGGGTTGGAGGACCGAGTTCAGGCCTTGGTCGTCGGGCCCCTGCCCGGGATTGAAGGCACGCTCCCGGCCGGGCGGCCTGCGGGGAAATCGAGGCTCCACCGGCGCCGCGAAACAGCGGGGACACTGTTCCTTGAGACTCTGGAGGAATTTAAGTTGCATACCCTTTCCCTGCCGTGGTCATTGCCATATTTCAGGAAAAGTCCTAGAAGATCACGGTTACGCGTTTATGTCTTATATTTTTTTTTTTTACGTTTGTTATGTTTGTCCATTAAGACCAATCCATCTCTCCTCAGGGGCGATTCTCACCTCCATAATTCAGTTGTTTATGAAACATGGGCGCAGAGGTAAGCAAGGGCGCGGAAAGCATCGGCTCCGAGCAGGAGATGATCCACTGGGTCTAGGCAGCCCGCCCGACGTGGCAAAATGTCGTGGGGAGGAGACCGCCAGAAGCCAGACTCTGGCGTCAGCCGCGCAGAACGCTCTCCCAAACGCCTGTCCAAGGCGCCGCTGATTGCCTGGAGCCGCCTCTCACGCCGCAGGAGCCCTGCCACAGCGCTGGCCCCGCCTCTGGCCTCAGTGTCTTCAGTTGTGTTGCGCGCCCCCTACACGTGACTAGCTTTCTGGCGCTTCTCATTGGCCAGCTCATTTCCTGCAGACTTCTCCTTCCAGTGTTTTTCACGTGATAGGTCACTTCCCCACCCCGACCTAGGCTGATCGGAATCCTAGGGACACTTCCCTGAGACCTGTACGCAGACCTCTGAGAAGCCCCTCGAGGACCTTCGCAGATGCGGCTTTCATTTCCCGCTAAGGACGAGGGCTCTGGGGGCGGAGCCGCTCCTGAAGGAATCTCTGGCTGCTGGAGATGGAAGACTCCGGATCTGAGTCCGGCACAGAGAAACTGGGAGAATGAGGTGAGTTAAGAGACCAAAGCGGGGAAAGGGGGTTCGAGCCCGAGAAGTGGTGGATTAACTTTGTCGCAACTTCCTTAATTGAACAGAAAATCTTCATTTTAATATAACCAAAATCATTAATTTTTGCCTTATGACTCGTGCTTATGGGGTTTAGTTCAAGAAGTTTTTCCCAATCCCTTTAGTTTGCAGGATAGTCTCTTTTTCTTTTACAAATTGTAGAGTTTTACCTTACCGTTTTAGGTCTTTTATCCACGTGGAGTCCACCTATGTATGTGATGGTAGGTCAGGATCTAGTTTAATTTTTGTCATTCAGTGAGCCAGTTTTCCT